TCTGCTCCAGACATTATATTTTGCTGATAGAGAAAAAATGGAGGCAGCTATCTGTGAGCTTCTTGTTGGTTTGAATTATATATGCCGTCATGAGCATCAGCAAAATGCTTTGTTGGATTGTGCAAGCAGTTTTGATTTTGATGACTGCATGGAGTAGCAACTGCGGTATTCAACTTCTTATCATTCTTAATTACACTGCAAGAAGGGAATACATGGGTGATGGTTGGATTTTTCTTACATTCCAACACTTGTATGATAAGGAATAAGGATAGATGATAGTTGAACAAGATGTGAAGAATAAAGCTTCGGATTATTGAATATGTCTATTACTGTAAAATTGAGTTGATTAATGTATCTCTTTTGCCATGTATATGGAAATTTGAATTTCTTATGAAGTGAAACATCTTTCCTTTTGCCTAGAGTGTGCACATTATTTTTTATGAGTTCTGTTTGCTACTGCTTGGACAATCTTTCACAGTTTTTGTAAATAAATAACGAACCAACATATTTCCATAAAGTGAATCAGCCAGGGTGGTGTGTCAAGTCAAGTGGCAAGCATTTAATATACGCTGGAAGAAGCAAGCCAGTAGACATGCCTTTTCGAATTCTAAGTGAAGCAGTTACACAAAGACTCCTACGTTGAAGGGAGTGGTCGGTTGCTCTGGAATTTGAGAGAAGATAGTTACCAAGACTGATTGAACTTTCGAAATTAAAAGGCAGCAATGTGGAAGATTGATAATCCTAACAAAACAAATGCTGCTTCTGAGACTGAGAGAGTGAGAGTAAGAATGACATGAGCTTGGAGTTATTTTTGATATGAAATTTGAGGTGCCTGTGACAATCCTTTGTTATTGGAGGAAAGACTGCAACCTATAAAAGATTAGAATTTGAAGGGCAATGTATAGTTTAGCTCACCCACTTAATTTTTTTCAAGAGTATTCCATCACTACGGGAAGTCTAGATGTACACATCCAAAAATGTTTTGGGGCTCTTTGTTTATTTCTCAATTTGCTGTTAACCTAAAATGGATTTTGAATTTTTCGATAAAAAGAAGTGTTTTTCGATACAAATCCGCTAAAAGACCTGATATGATTGATAAACCTAATTCCCAGCAGCAATTAGGGTTTGACTGCGGCATGCAGGACAAAAAAAAATCGAACTATTCTATTTATCAATTTTTTGGATATTTATAAAACATTTTAGGTGAAGCATACTAACTTTTGTGTGCACTCATTTTTCTGGTTCACTTAATTTTTTTAGCTAGCTTACAATTTTTGGGTAGAATTTATCAATTTTTAGGGTAACCTTTTTTTTTTTTTTATGGTTTTTTTTCTAATTTTCGGTATAAATTTTAGTACAATAGTATTTCCCCAACAATTGTGGCAAAAATTATAATTAATAATAGTTTTTGTGTAGTAGAGTATGAGAGTGAAAAAACAAGGGGGAAGCAATTTGAATATCAATGCATTGGAAAACAAGAACAGGTCTAGCAACGTCATTTTTAGATTCGTGCAAATGAGATCCATATCCTCTTCAGTATATTTTCCTTTCAATTCTCTTCTTGACGCAGTGTTTAACATTAATGAGTGATGAACCTACTTGTATACAATGAGTCTTACTTGAATATGTAGAGATTGATATGTCAACAACACAATTGAAAAGGATGATATCTCGTGCAAGATTAAAATTTAGAATCTCGAAGAAATAACTTAAAATCTTTTCATAGATTTCTCACCGATTCTTCGCCCTCGGTTCTTTTACTTGAGCTACCATTATGATTAAGTTACATATAAGCTTTGTTTGCTGAATATACTAAATCAAGTTGCTAATTATTTATTTTTTTTAGTGCTTCAAATGCCCCAAACAAAGTCCTGCCAGTGTTTATTCAAATTCAGAGCCCCTTGACACAAATCTTGTCTCCATGCCCCCCCCCCCCCTCTCTCTCTTCTTTCCCATCTAGTTTAAGGTAGAAGGGCCTCCAGATTCCCAGATTCTTCTCAGGTAATCCCATCTCCCAAAAAGCCTAAAATATTCTTCTTTTTTTTATTATTTATTATTTCATCATACAGACCCCTTAGCACCACTTTTGATTGTAACATCAAGTGGATGTTCTAGGCATAAAATTTAGGAACTTATTTGTTTTTTTCCAACGGTGAGAGGTCTTTGAGTCAATTTATATGCATTTTAGTTAATCCCTTCTTCGATCTGATCAAAGATAGATCATCCACTTCGAAACTAAGATAATAGCTTGATCTCAAGAAGTTACAAAAATTTAAATTCAAGATGTCTAAATTTATAATTCGTCCCTATTATCACTTGAATTACCTCTCAGACTTAAAATACAGAAACTACACATATGTAGTGGGAACAAGATCCCTCATGTTTTGATAGCATACTAAGTCAAATTTCTTTCTTTAGTGGTTGTGCATATTTAGGATCACACTTGATATTTGAACCATTCATTCTCATTATAGATTTTGATTATGCTGCTAGTTTCAATGAATCTTATCCTTCATGGTTAAATTTACTCGATATCACTAATTGTTTATCAATCCTACATGAATTTAGTGAAGGATAATTGAATTTCAGAAAATTAAAACTCAGAGGATCCAAATCTATGAGACTCGTCCCGTTTTTGGTTAATTAAAATTTATATTAGGATAATTACAATTCAAAATATAAGATTGACTCGAGATGTCACCATCAACAGAATGAATTTTCCTATGAACAACCTAGAATCGTCCAAGCTAAACACCCTTTGACTTCATAACTGCCACGTACGCTTGAGACGTTTCACAATCATGCGTAAACCACAATTAACGCATCAATTAGAAATGTCACTCGAGAGATTTGAACTTGAGATTTGAAGAGATTAATAATTGTAATCAAAATCATCTGAAAAATCTGATGGGTTGTGAATGACTAATAATACTTGGTGCATCATGTAAGTAAAGAAATAAATAGCTAAGAGATTAGATAAGTGGGGTCCATTCAGACTAATGTAGCCATAAACCCATCACCCATTGTTGACAAGAAATTGACCAATCTCAAGTTAATCATAATGATATTCTAAATAAGCCACCACCTAATGCCACCAATGCATTGCATGTATTGAATTAATTGGCAAAAGTTTTGGGTGGCCAATGAGAATGTATTCCAAAAGGATCTAATGTCAAGTCCTTCAATATAATAATCATAATGAACATAGACCATGTACATGGAATATTGAAAAGAAAATTACACTGTCATCCCTCATATTATCTGATAATTGTTGGAATTTTTTTTTATTTTTTGGAATTTTACAATATTGTGTTTTTATTCTTATATTTAATGGGATGATGCCCCATTAGTCCACAATTAGAAAAGATAACTAAACCTTCCAACTACATTAGTTCTCGTGCTCTAATATATGTCCCTCTTGCAGGGGGAAAAAAATTCCTTGACCATTTATACTAACTCCTACTAAGAGAGAGAGAACTGCTAAGTTCTAAATTGAATGATTAATGACTCCATTAGCTTTGCTAGAGACAACAATTCCTGACATGGAATGTAGTGTAATTTAAAAAAATTGAGGGTAAGTCCTATAATTTTCAGATACCGCGCAGGGTATCACTTTAAATTTTCTATTCTTATAGTAACCTTTTTGTTTGGGGGGGGGGGGGGGGGGGGGGGGGGGCTGCAAAATCTAATAAAATTCGTGGGACCAAAAAAGTATAATAAAATACATTGTGGGGGTTGTGGAGATGAGGATTGGGGGACACTTGGGGTTGTCATTGAATCGACTTGAAAGTGCCTAAACACGTACACATTCATGCATGGTCGAACAAAGAAAGAGAGGTAAATGCACACACCCTCAGTTCAAGAATCTTTGAACACATAAAACTCAAGTTCAATTCATCAACATGGTTTATGAGTGATTGCGTGCATCTAGAGCTTGCATTACAATTATGAGTTAAAAGAACGTGTAGTCGGAACAATTCTTGTGGAATATCAAGACTTTATGTATGATGGGATGAGTGCAACCATAATTCATAACAAAAGCCAATAAAAACTAACAAGGAACCAATGATCTAAATGAATCAACCCCCATACAAGTCCTAATATAAAATATGTATCTGTGACAGCCTTAAGATGTTAAGCATTGCTCCTGTACACACCGTATCAGCATTGTTGACAATTTATCAGATCAAAACTTAAATCAAGTAGACAATACGCGTGTCGCATAGTGGTTAAGGTCCATTCCAACCAATGCCTAAACAGGTCGGGATCTTTGCCCTTTCCCAGATAGTGCAGTATGAGTACTAGTTGTACTTGAACACACACACACAAACAAGTCAATGTATAGGATTAACCTGGCAAGAACCGAATGGGTGTCACAAAATAACATTCCGAGAAATAAGACCATAAATAGGAGGCTTTCAGCATCTTGTTCCATGGAAGACAGCAAGTCTAGTCTAACTACAATAAAGGGGCAATTATCACAGGTATTATCAATATAAACAACGCTTAATCTAGAATATTAAACATATATACATCAGTTCATTAATCAAAAGCAGAGCTTTTCTTTTAATAACTGATTATGATGCTGAGACATTTTCTACATTAAGGACAGAAACCAATGTCACTTTTCTTTTTGAAAAAAATGATTCGGCTATTCAAAGATTAGGCTATATTGTTCTTGCGTATGAAATTAAACCAATAATATCGGTACTGAATAACATATTTTTCCCAAATGGCGTGGATAAACTAATTCGCATTCAAAAGTAAGTAAAAAAATCAAAAGTAACTACTTTTCAAGCTAGAAGGTTCGTTAATGTAAATCACTGAAATGATGTGCCAAGCTTCTAGCTCAATCGCATTTGGAAATATGAATCAAATATATAATAGTAATGTCTTCTCCCGAGGCATAATTGATTCTACCCAGTAAATGCTTTGATGATATAATAGCATACATTTGTAGATTCTTCATCTCATATTCCTCGACACAGAATTTATCAACTTTAAATTTGCGTAGTAACTTTACAGTGTACTAACTGCCTAAGTGCTTAATGTTTTCTTGTAGGAAAAAAGATGTTTTAATTATAATTTTGAACGTCTGTAATCAATTTCTAGCTTAGCTATGCAGTCATATAGTATAGCTTAAACACGGTACAAAAAGAGGGAAATAAATTTTCTATACCATTTTGACTATGAATGTGGGTGAAACATCTATTTGCTGGAATCTTGGTGCAAGAAGGCATTGGCCAAAGAAATGGTGTCTGTTTATTCTAACCAAGGTCCCTGCTGGGTGGTGCACTTCCTTTATATACAGTCTTGATCATCACACAACCTTGTTTGCCTGAAGTAAGACTCTTTGAAGCTCATATGCAATATCTCGTAAAATAATTGGTTTTTGAATAACTCCATTCATCCCAATTTGCATACATCTTTCCCAAACATCATCAGCACTTGCTGTCAAGCCGATTATCAATGGCCAGCTGCGGCTTCGAAACTTCCGAATTCTTATGGTAACTCCAAATCCATCCAAGTCAGGCATGTGAAGATCCAAAAGAACAATTTGGAAAGAAGACACAGCTGGGCCAAGTGCACTAAGGCATTCATATCCACATGAAACAGTGGACACAATACATCCTAGTTTCTCAAGCAGCTTCCGTGTCACTGCCCTGTTCAAATCATCGTCATCAGCCAATAGAACTTTAAGGCCCCTGAAGAGAGAGTTTGAATGAGGGAGCTCTGAAGATTCTCCCGATTGGGTGATGCCTACAACAATGGATGGGCGGAGTTGAAACCGAAGAACAAGTCCCATGCTTTGATCAAATCCCTCTGAATTTGGGACAACCCAGATTTTCCCTTGCATTAACTGCCAATTTACCCAAAAGAAATGAGTTAGCTGCAGAAGGAAATGTTTTGATTAAACCTAGGGCAGGCCGAAAATATATAATTGCTCATGCAGTCCTTTAAGAGAGGGTGTCCCAAAAGCAAAAATGAAAGCAGAAAAGGGAGAAAATGTTCAGTGGGCTGCAATTAACAGCCCTTTGAAGCAACCATAACAGTTCTAACTATTGCCTGCCCCTTTTGTAGTTTCAGTATACCATTGAATGTGGACATTATATGAACAGTCTCCAGGTTAATATCCTAATAGAAGAAACTTCTTGCTTCTGAAAAAGTTCTTATACAATATTTGCTTAAAGGGCCAAAGAAAGTCAAAGTCCTTACAAAATACAGTCCAAAAATTCTGACAAAAGTACCATTAGAAGGGCAAATAATCAATAACCACCAAAGACCACTTAAAACCAAAAAAGATCTATGCGAACAAATTAGATTGAAGGGCCACTTAGCAATCATGCCATCCAAATTCCTTGAAAGGAATGAGGCTATAATACTACTGCAAACATTTGTTGAAGTGAGATTACATATTTATGTCTATTCTGAAAAGAATGTATCCACATTTTTTAATCTTGCAATAAGATATGACTAGATCAAAAGAGCAAGGTCTAACATTCTGATGGAGGACAGAAATTTGAAATTAACTCTCCGTCCTCACATACTGCTAGCAATATCATGCAGATGCTAGTGTCATGAAATTGTGATTGCTCGTTGGTCATGTGGTTCCCAAAACGAACACACGCACACCCCCCCCACTCACCTGCACTAGCTTTTTGCACACGCTGAAGCTCAAGCCTTCCTCAAGTCTCTCGCTGCAGTATCTCTGACCACCAACCGGGAATGCCGAAATGACATCCGTCAACTGGGAACCACTATAGTTAAGCCCTATCTCAAATTTAAGATAGACATACCCATCAGATGAGTTTGATCTCCAGGTTGTCCATCTTTGATCATTCCTTCCATGACTGCCTCTGTCTGAGCAAACCCTAAATGTTACACACCCTCTATGGTTGCCATTCACAAGACTACCAATCATGTGCAAAATCACCTGAAACACTCTTCGTTCATCGCCCATAACATGATCAGGCAATGACTTCTCAACCTCAATGTCAAAACCATTACCCCTACAAACACACAAGCATTTGGCGAGGCAAGCGGCTTCTTTTATCATGGAATGCAGGTGGAAAGACCTCATCTCTAGTGGGAACCTTCCATTGTTCTTCATTGAAGTATCCGTCACATCATTTATCAAGGTTGAGAGGACATTGCTGGTTTTAACCAATGCATCAACAAGAGTTTTTTGCTGGCTATTCAAGTTCTCATCCTGCATCATGGAAAGTAAACCCAAAATTGAATGCATGGGTCTTCTCAAGCCATTGCTCATTACCATCTGAAATGAGTTCCTTGCCTGGCTTGCCATCATTGCGTCCTGTTTCGCCAGTTGCAGGGCTCGATTTTGCTCCACTAACCTATCTCTCATGAGCTGGGACTCTTCAAGCACCGCAGCATGTGAGAGAGCCACAGCCACCTGATCAGCAACCACCTTCACTATTTCAAGTTCCTGGTTGCTCCAAGATCTTCCTTGTCCACCAGGAAGGACCAAAACAAGTATTGCATAAGCAGCCGGGACCATCTCAGGAGTTCCACCTTTGAAGTTAGAAACCCTCAGCATTGGCATCCTAATTGCAGCAACAGCACCTATGTCACCCTTCCCTCCACAGCTTGCAGCTGCAAGTGCTGATTCATGGTGAATTATCTTTACTACTCCATCACTCTCCTTAATCTCTCTCACATCTGGGTCCCAAATTGGGATGGAGGAACTATAACGTTCAGAAAAATTTGTCCTTTCCAATTCATGGGTCAGATTCATCTCTGTCTTATTTTCATTAGGCATCCAAATTGCGCAATTCTGCAAATCCAGTGTCTTTGATAGCTCAACAAGAGTTGTATCTAATATAGTATGCCGATCAAGTGACTTACGGATCTCTTGGGTGAGCATCCGAACATGCCACCCAGCTTCCTTCTGCTTCTTTATCATTCCAACCTCTCGACCAAGATCCCAAGTCTTCTTCTTCAGCATAAATTCTCTCACCTTCACTTTGAGCAGCAATGGGATGAGAGTGATAAGGGTTATAGCAGTGGCAAAAGAGACCAAAGCAGTGAGAAATTTGAAAATGGTTACAGCAAGCATTAGCTGAAATGGATGTGGGCCATAAGTCCAGCCATTGAGCAAATGGGTCATTCCGCATAGAACAATGAAAGCAATGAATTGAAAGAGTACCCATTTGAATGGAACGTTTGAACAGCTAACAAAGTAAAGTAGCTCTATTGGGATTGAAAAATAGGCCACTGCAATCAAGAAATCACTCACTTTTTGGCACTCTAAAATGTTTTCAGTGCTCCAAAAACCATCCTCCCCACAATCCCGGGGGAACCCATTATCAGCAGCAGAAATGGAAATGAGGAATGATGAAATCAATAGCCCAGATGCCAATGTCTTTAGCATTGCATCCAATGAATTGATTCTTCAATCCATCTATTATTGAGGATCGAACTTACTAATAATCCAATGCAGATCACACAAGTATTAAACAATTTGCGCTACTTAGGACCATAAAACACAAGCTTCTGGCATTCATTTCCTGTACAAAAATGTGTAACTAAATCAAAAACCACTTCCACAAACAGAAACAGAAAAGGGGAATTCCCATAAACCCAATTGCAATATACATCTACAAACTATAGACACTAATAAATATCTGGAAAGCACCAATTTGGTAATAGTTAAAGATCTAACATTACCAATCTCATGCCCAAAAAAAAATGATATGAATTAGCAAACAGCTAAAAACCAATATAAATCCAATTTTGTGATTCAGGTGGTCACTCATAATGAAGAACACCTAGAAATTTCCTCAATTACAAACATTACAAAGCAATTAATAATAAAAACAAGCTACCAACAACAATATTTTAGCTGGAAAATTTTGAAAACCCACCAATTTTTACCGTTCAAGGAAACAAGGAAAAAAAAAAGTAATGCAGGCATAGAGGAATCTTACCTGGTAAAAAAAGAAATCACAATATCTTCAGATCTTTTCTTTTATTCTACTGCGGACAGATTTATTTGATATATACAGCCACGAATACTTCCCGATCACAATATCGCCTTCTAATCCAAAACATCAACTACCAAATAACCTCCACACCAAATCTCTCTGTCCATTTACACCACCAACCCATTCACCTAGAACTCCTCTCCCTCCAGTTACTGCAGTAAAGAACAAAACTATGCAAATACCAACAACAAATCACAAGAAAACCAGCAAAGAAAACCCAGTTTTTTTTTTTTTAATCTAAAGGTCACTCCACCCCCACAATCGGTTGATTCGCACAGGTTCTGGAGGGTAAAGCCGGGCCTATACTGTATGTATGTCTTTAAACACCACCACTTCTATAAATGAAATGATGATATAGAAGAAAATTCTCCCAGTTTCTCTTCTTTTTTTTTTTCAGTTTCGTTTGCCCTTTTCTTCTTGTCTCTCTCTGTACTCAAACTTCAAAACAGGAGTTTCTGGGAGATCAGAGGGAGAGAACGAGAGAGGAAAGACTTTATAGGGAGAGACATGGAGAGGTTTATTTTGTCCGCCCATTGTTTGAGAGAGAGAGAGAGAGAGAGACAGGAGAGAGACAGAGGGTTTTGAAGCAGTGTAGTCTGTAGAGAGGAGGAGGTTTTAGAGTGGGACCCACTTTGGTACATGAAGAGAACTTAGACGCACTTTTGTTCCACACGTCACATTCAACCCCCTAAACCAACCCCCCCCCCCCCCCCCCCCCCATCCAAAATCCAATTTTTCTTCTTTTTATTTTCTCTGTTGCAAGTCAGATTTGAATTTTAAATACAAAAAGAGTGGATCTAAAGTAAAGTTATCGTAATATCACATTATTATTTGACTATTATTTTTAGGGCAAATAATAGTTTGCACCTCGAAAAGATTAATAAATTTTCAATTCGTACTTTCAAAAATTAATTATTTTAAATTATATCCTCAATAAAATTAATTGATAGTAACCTGACATGAATCATAATACCCGCTATAATTATTTGATGGGACTTTTCTGAAATACTCCATGATGAAGACACGTGTCATCGGTATTACCAAAATACTGTTGCTAAGATCAAGCGTCATCGGCGCATAAAGGTCCTCGCCCCCGAGGTACTTGTCATATAGGATCATGGCATTCAATACGTTTTACAACCAACACGTAGCCTCGGTCTGATATGGTACCTCGGTCGGTGTCCCTCCCTCGGTTCCGAGATGAGCCTTTCCTCGGTGCCGAGGTGTACCCCCGTCCTGGACGCCTCCTCTACTCCAGGATAAGCTATTGACGTACAGGTCATTAGCCTAGGCTAGTCTAGGCTATTCATCATGACCTCGTCTTACACAATTAGTGTCAGAACGTACTGGAATGCAGGGGCCACAGCCAATAGGGGATGGACGCGTGGCATATGATATCACATCGAAGACAGAGAAACCGCATGTCGTTGCTGACACGCGACTTGGGAAAGCAAACTATTAATTACACCATTCCTTTGATGAGACCGCATTCAATGCGGTAAGGCTCGGAAATGAAAGGCAATAAATGCTCCTAATACAGAGCATTTATTGCATCCTCCCCGAGAGGAGTACATTGTACCGTCGGCATCCCGATGACCCAGCATTGATTGCTCGGGACCCCGAGCAGTTAAGAAGAGAAGACATTCCTCATCAGAATCAGTGCGCACACTGCCTGTACCTAATGATCACCTACTGACTACACTGACAGCAATCATGAGCTTTTGAGGTATAAATACTCCTTGCAAAAGGCAAGACTGGTATGCAACAAAAAACTCTTTACTACAATACTCACTCAGTGTTTTCTCCTTCCTCTCTCTTTCTAAAAGACTGACTAGATCGTCGGAGGGGATACGCCGAAAAACACTCTGGCGCCCTTCTAACTTGTTCTTCTTTGTTCCAGGAACCTCTTCCAGCCTTACTGGATCGTTCTTCCGCTCCCCCAGGGTCTCCCGTTGCCGTTCCAGGTTACCACCGGACCTCGCAGGCTGTTCCGAGCAGCGTGGTTGGTCACTCAACCGGCTCACTCGAGTTCACCAAGGGAGAGATCTGTTCTCGTTTTTTATATTGTGCAGGATCTTGCACGCACAATCTGGCGCCGTCTGTGGGAAACGACTAGTTTTCCTAGTTTTTTCTCTATAAAGAACAGTGACCATGGTGAACACTCGACAGAAAGGGAAAGGACCCCACCAAAGGAGTCTCGAGTTACAAGCTCCCTGTCACCACGGAGGAAGGGATCACACCGATATGAATAAAAGTGTCTCTACTCGGTCAAGAGGGGTTACCCCTCAAACCAGTATGGGAATCAGGTCAGGGGGATCAGCCCCCTTGGCTCGTCAGCTGGCGGAGGTGATTGAAGAAAAGTTTGGCGATAGATTACGACAGCTAGAAAAGGACAATGTAAACGTCCTAAGCCGGCTTAACGAGTTTGCCGCCTCTGGCGAAGGATCGAGGGATTCATTCCTTTCTCGTGGGCTTCCCGCCCGGGAGGCGGAAACAAAGGATCTAAGAAACCACCTAAACAACAAAGCAGAAAGCTCTAGGGCCCCAAAGCGACCCAGAGCCGGCGAGCATCATCATGACAACCATTCAAGGAAAGCAAGGCCATTGGCCCTGGACGACCTCCGGCGAGGTTTGTCTAGACGGAGGAAGGGAGATGAATCCGAGGAGGGCTCAACCCAATCCACACGACGCCCAGGAAATGAGGGGCTTACCGATGAACTCAAGGACTTCAGGAGGCATCCCGTCAGGGAAGAAATTGATCTCAGAGCCCGGTTAGACTCCAGGAGAAAGGGTAAGGCTGTCCAGGATGAGGCCGAGGACGAAGTCATACAAACACCCTTTACGAGGGAGATCGGTGAGATGGAGGTTTCAAGAAAGTTTGTCGTGCCGCGGTTCAAAACTTATGACGGGCGGTCCGATCCCGAAGCCCATGTCAGGCAATACAAGCAGATGATGTCCCTCTATCATTCGGACCAACGGTTTCTCTGCCGAGTGTTTCCTATGAGCTTGGGGGACTCTGCGATGAAGTGGTTCGAGGCGCTTCCCCCAACAGTATTGGGTCCTGGAAGGAATTGACTAAGCAGTTCCTGGCTCGATTCATTACGGGGAGTAAGCGCCCCAAAGACATTGGATCATTGCTGACCCTCAGACGGAGGGAATCCGAGACTCTTCGCCAGTACGCCATCCGATACTGGGAAGAGGTTAATGAGGTAGAAGGCTGCTCGGAGGTCATGGCAGCAGCATCTTTCCGGCTCGGCTTGGCAAGGGACACGGACCTGTACCGATCCCTGACCAAGAAGACCCCCTCGGATATGGGGGAACTAATGGCCCGGATAAACAAATACTCGAGGATTGAGGACGAGATGGGAAGCAGCAAAGGCCGAGCCCTCCAATCTAAGAGAAAAGAGAAGGAGCGGGAAGATATTCCCCGAAAGGGACTGCTACCCCCTCCAGGGGGTCCGTCCAAAGGAATTCACACCGTGTTCAAGGAACCCATCTTCAAGCTGCTCCATAAAATCAAGCACGAGCCGTTCTTCAAATGGCCGCCCAGGATGCAGAGCGACCCCTCCACCCGTGATCAAAAGGTTAGGTGTTCCTATCACCGGGATTTCGGGCATCGCACCGAAAGCTGCAGGGTGTTCAAATCGTTCTTGGAAAGATTGGTCCGAGACGGATATTTGAAAGAGTACATAGAGCCCAGGCCAGAAGAGAGACAAGCCCTTGCCCCGACCGAGGAGCCGGACAACATCATAGATGTCATCCATATATGTCCCCTGGATCGCCCCACGTCCAAGGAACTCGAGTCCGACCTCAAAAGGGTAGCTTTTACAAGGAAGGTAGCCGAGGTTGATGTAGGGCCACCAAGTAAAAGGGCCAGGACGGGTGAGCTTGGCATTACATTCTCCGACGCGGATTTGACAGGCGTAGTGACTCCTCATAACGACGCCCTTGTCTTGACCCTGAGGATAGGAAAATTCGATGTCAAAAGGATTTTGATAGACTCTGGAAGTTCCTCGGAGGTGATGTACTCCGAAACTTTAAAACGGATGGGTCTTGGCCCCAAAGACCTCACCAAAGTCAGGACACCCCTCATCGGATTCAACGGCTCGTTCGCCCTGCCCGTGGGAAAAATCACATTGCCAGTTGTCACAGGTCCCTTTGTCATCGACACCGAGTTTGTCGTGATCGATACGGACTCTCCCTACAACGTGATTATGGGGCGAACATGGCTGCATGCGTTGGGAGCGGTGCACTCCACTTTCCACCAGAAATTAAAATTCGCCACGCCAGAAGGTATCATGGAGATCCGGGGGGACCAAGCGTCCGCGAAAAATTGTTTTTATTCAGCCGTTCGAGCCGGGGCGTTCAGCCAGGAGAAGGGGCGAGCACCGGAAGAGATTATGAAAAATAGCAATTACAGTCCGGGCGTCCAGGAATGGATGACCCCCGGATAGACCCAACTGAGCGGTCGGTAGAAGACCTCCGGAAGGTGCCCTTGGTAGAGGGAGAAGAAGAGAGGTATTTCTTAGTTGGGACCTCGATGCCCACAGCCGAACAGGAGGAGATGATCGAGTTCCTAAGGGGAAATACAGACGTGTTCGCGTGGAACGAGATGGAAATGACGGGGTAGACCCCGAGATAATCACACACAGGCTGCATGTTGACCCGTCGCACAAGCCAGTCAAACAGAGGCCACGACGCATGGCCCCGCATCACACCAGCGCGGTCAACGAGGAAATCGACAAACTCCTGAAGGCCGACGCCATTCGAGAGATACAGTTCCCAGAATGGCTGTCTAATACGGTGTGCGCAAAGAAGAAAGGGGGGAAATGGCGTGTCTGCGTAGACTTTACAGATCTAAACAAGGCATGTCCCAAGGACGACTACCCCCTGCCAAAGGTGGACCAGCTGGTAGATGCCACTGCCGGATATGAACGAATGGACTTCCTGGATGCCCGAGCAGGATATCATCAGATCCCTCTCTATCCCCCGGATCAGGAAAAGACGGCGTTTATCACTCCGAATGGAGTTTACTGTTACAAAGTGATGCCGTTTGGACTAAAGAACGCCGGGGCAACATACCAAAGACTGATGAATCGGATGTTCAAAAAGCAGATCGGCAACACCATGGAGGTCTACATAGACGATATGCTGGTAAAGAGCAAACGGAGTTGTGATCATCTGACAGATTTGACGGATACCTTCTCCACCCTCAGGGAGTATGGGCTGAAGCTGAATGCG